GCCACCGCCGCGTCCGTGCCAGGACCCAGTAAAGCCGTGCTAAATGCCAGCCGTGCCAGGACCCGTGTAAAGCTGTGCTGAATGCCAGCCCGTGCCATGGCACCCAGTAAAGTTGTGCTGAATGCCAGCCCGTGCCAGTGAAGCCGTGCTCCATGCCAGCCCTGCCGGGTCCATGCTGGGAGCACTGGGGCAGGGACGGGATCCCAAAATTCCCGGGGAAGGATTTACTGGGAAAATCAGAATGTTCCCCAAAAATGTCACACCCCTGGGGTGCTTGGTGTCACCTTGGGCCGCTCGGTGTCACCTTGGGGTGTTTGGTGTCACCTTGGGGTGTTTGGTGTCACCCTGGGGCGCTGAGGGTGTCCACAGGCTGCTCATGGCGCGGTGCAGGACGAGGACACCGAGGACACCCTGGTGCCACTCGGGCCCAGCCAGCGGCCACAGGCTTGGGGGTGGGCACGGGGACAAGGGTGGCACCCACCGGCATTGGGGACAGCACCCCCCGGAACTAGGGACAGTATCCACTGGCACTGGGGACAGCCCCGGGACCCACTGGCTGTGCTGGGAGAGTTGGGGGCTGTGGGATTGGGAATGAGGGATCGGGGATGGGAATTTGGGATTGGAAATGGGGGGTTTGGGGTCGGGGATGGGGATTTGGGGTTGGGGTGTGGGATTTAGGGTGACGCCAATCACGGCGGATGACGTCACACACAGGGGGCAGGGCCAAGGCACTCAGCGCCCTCCAGTGGCCAGAACTGGCACTGCCCGGTGCCACCAGCGCCACGGGTGCCACTCAGTGTCCCCAACCTGGCACTGTCCAGAGCCCCCAGTGCCACCTGGTGTCCCCAAACTGTGGACACTGCCCAGTGACACCCAGCGCCATCAACTGGACCTCGATCCCCATGACCTGGAGGTGACACAGGCCCGGGAGAGGGGACACAGGGCCAGGAGAGGCCCCAGCCCCACAAATAAATCCGGTCTGGGATCGAATCCTGGCTTTAATTACGACCCAGATTTTCCACTTTTCTTCAACGAAATATTTCCCCAAACGATTTGGGGAAATTCTCTCCCAGATTTGGCGTTCCAGGCCCGAGGTTTTGTGATTTCCTTGAATTTCATAGTCCAACCAAAACGGAGCGAAGTGGGCGGGGCCACATAATGAATATGCATGAGTCTCTTAGGTAATCCTATGAATATGTAAATTTTTGGGAATAAAATCTCCAAATTTGGGGAGAGGAGCTCTGAGAATTTCGCATATTTGGGAGGTTCAATAATCATTCCACTTTCTTTATTTAGTTAAATTTTTCTTTAAATCTTTAAAGAAAAAAGTTTCTTAAAGTTTAGTTTTTCTTTAATTCTTTAATTTTTTTCTTTCCGTGCCTCAGTTGCCCCCAAACCAGGTGGGACCCTTGGGCACCCCAAAGCGGGCATGAAGCCCTGGCACCTTCCTCAAAATATCCCAAAAATATCCCCAAAACATCCCAAAAATATCCCAAAAAATATCTGCTCCACTTTTACGACTTCATGTGACAGAATTAAAAAAAAAAAAAAAAAAAAAAAAAGAAAAATAAAAAGAAAAACACCAAATATTTACCAAAATTTCCAGACCTGTTTTTTTTTTTTTTAAGGGCCTTTTTTTTTTTTTCTTTTTTTTTATTATTTTGAGGCGGATTTTCGCCATCTGGAGAATGAAAAGGCTCTGGCAGGGCTGGTGAAGTGTCAGCGAAAATGATTTAAAAATGTTGTTTTTATTATTATTTATGGGCTGGAACCCCAGAGAGGGAAAAGGAGCCAAAAAAAAGGTTCAAAAATAGATGGAAAAAGCAAAAAAAAAAAAATTGGGATGTTTTTTCCAGAGGTGGCTGAAAAATAAAATAAAATACCTTGGAAAAACACAAATAAATTGGGGGGTTTTAGAGGTCGGGGTTTTTGAGATTGGGAATTTTTGGGATCAGGGATTTTTCGGGTCTGGGATTTTTGGGGATTGTGGTTTCTGGGGATTGGGATTTTAGGATCAGGGATTTTGGGATTTCTGGGATTGGGGATTTTTGGGATTGGAGATTTTGGGATCAGGGATTTTTGGGATGGAGGTTTTTGGGATCAGGGCATTTTTGGGATCAGGGATTTTGATGATCGGGGTTTTTGGGGTCTGGGATTTTTGGGATCGGGGGATTTTTGGGATTTCTGGGATTGGGGATTTTGGGATCAGGGCTTTTGGGGATCAGGGATTTTCCCAGCTCCCAGCAGAGGGAACGGCGGGAGCACAGCAGAGTCTCTTGGCCAGACGGGCTGGAATTCCACAGCTGGAATTCCACAGCTGGATCAGCTGGAACGCTCTGGTTTGGGATTCCCAGGGATTCCAGTTTGGGGTCCCCAGGGATGCTCAGGTCCGGGATTCCCAGGGATTCCCTGATTTGGGGTCTCCAGGGATGCTCCAATTCGGAATTCCCAGGGATTTCTGGATTTGGGGTCCCCAGGGATGCTCCAGTTCAGGATTTTTGATTTGGGGTCCCTGGGAATGCTCTGGATACCTCGAGATGAGCTGATTTGGGGTGCCCAGGGATCCCCAGGTTTGGAGTCCCCAGAGATACTCCAGTTTGGGATCCCCAGAGATGCTCGGGTCCAGGATTCTCTGATTTGGGGTTTCTGGAATGTTCCAGTTCAGGATTCCCAGATTTGGGGTTCCCAGGGATGCTCAGTTTTGGGATCCTCTGCTTTGGGGTCCCCGGGGATGCCCCATTTGGGGACAGGGCCTGGAAAGGGGATCCCAAATCCTTCCCTTCCCCTCTTCACCCCCTGTTCCCTCTCATCCTGTTTTATTTTGGGGTGGATTATTCTCTATTTAGGGCCTTTCCAGCTGCTTCCTTTTATCCTTTTCATTCAGAGCCTGTCATTATATTTTCCATTCTTTCAAAGAAATAAAAAAACCAAAACAAAAGCGGCTTCCCAGGGGCCTTTCCAGCTCCTTATTCCCGGAGGAGAGGAGCAGAATATCCCAAAATATCCCCCAAAAATCCCCAAAAATAAAAAATAAAATCCCAAATCCTTCCACTCCCGCTTCCCTGTGGGGTTTTTAGGTGTTTTTGGGATGCGTAGGAGGGGGGAATATCCCAAAAAAAACCCTCTCCGAGATCCTGACGTGCTGGCACATCCTTTTCCCGTCTCTTTTTGGGATCTGGCCATCCCAAATTGCTGGGGCGGGCCGGGAGCTGCCGGCTCTGGGCTCCCGTTCCCGCTTGGAATGGGGCCGGGAATGGGGAAAAGAAGCTTTTTCTGAGATTTTCTCATCCCGTTTTTCCTGTCTCCCGGGATATTCCCAGCCCTGCTCCTGCCCCCCGGACCCTCCAGGGTTAAATCCACCTCTGGGGCACCCCAAAATCCAAAATCCATTCCCCAAAATCCGCCGCCGGGGCCTTCCAGGGCATCATCCTCGCTCCATCACCATCCCATGAAAAAGTGGGAAAATTGAGGGATTTCAACCCAAAACCTGCAAAAATCCCCCTGGATCCCCCATCCCACAGATCAGGATCCCCAGGGTGTCCCTGGGATTGAGGTCACCCCTTCTGTCCCTCGTTTTTTATTTTTGCCCTTCCCTCCCCGCTTTTTTCCTGGAACCCGGTGGGGACAATTCCTGGAACCCGGGGAAATCAGGATCCAGGGAAAAACAGGAAAATCCAGGATAAGACGAACCCAGGACAGGGAAAATCCAGGATAAGGAGAACCCAGGACAAGGAAAATCCAGGACAGGGAAAATTCAGGACAAGGAGAACCCAGGACAAGGAAAATCCAGGATGGGGGAAATCCAGGACAAGGAGAATCCAGGGAAAAACAACCCCGAGGACAGGGAGAACCCAGTTCAGGGAGCAGCCAGGTTTTGGGAAGGCGGGGTTGGAACGACACCTCGCCGTGGAATCTCAGCATTCCAGGTGCCTCCTCCCTCGGCCGCCCCCCCGCCCGCGCTGGGATCGCGGCCCGGCGGGACCGGGCCGGGACAGCGGGGCCGGGCTTTGGCCGCCGCTCGGGCCAAGGAGCCCCCCCCGGGCCCCCGCGCCCCCCTTTGATGCCGCATCCTGCGAGAAGGGTGGAAAAAAGGGTGGAAAAATGCCGCGCCGGGGCCAGGGCGGCTTGAAGAAGGGAAATGTTGTCCCGGGTTTGGCCCCATAAACGCCGCCTGTTCCATTACAGCATCCGCGCCTGGGCCGGCGGGAGGCTGCGAGGGGGGGACACCCAAAAATAACCGCGCTGGGGACACCCGGGTGGCAGCGGGACAGCGCCACCCCCGGCACGCCCCGCGGGGTCACGGCGGGGCTGCCCGCGCGGCGCCTTGGCACGGCCCGCTGCCAGCGGGGGCTCCGGTGGGTGCCCCCGCCCCGGCTGCCACGTCCCGCTGGCACCGAGCCCCCCCCGCCGCCGCCAGCCCGGCCGGGCCCGGCCCAAGGCAAACAGGAGCGGCCGGGACGGTGCTACCGAACGGGGGCAGGGGCTGGGGACAACGGGGACCCTCGAGGGACACGCGAGGGACACGCGGGGCTGGCCCCCGTCCCGGAGAAGCCCAGCAGCCAGACGGGTGTACAAGAATTGTATATTTTGTAATAAATAATGTACAAATCCGCCGGAATCCGGGCCGGCGCGGTGCCCGAGGTGCCGCGGGGGTGGCACGGCAGGGAGGGAGTCTCATCCGCGTTATCCTTGGGGTTTCCTCCCCAAAATATCCCCGTTTTCGGGGAGGAAAGCAGTGTCCCCAGCCCCCGGCGCGGACACACCGGGGCTGCGCCGGTGGCACCGGGCAAAGCACCGGGCGGGGATCCCCTTGCCATGCCCGCCCCTGCCCCGGTTTGCCCCCAGCCCCTCTTTTATTCCTTTTATTTCCATCCCGTCCGCGGGGCCGCCAGCGCGGGGCTGAGCACCAAGGGGAGGCAGCGACAGCACCGGGGGGTGGCGGGACCCCCTCCCCACGTCCCAGCCGTCCCCTGTCCCCCGTGCCCCCAGTCCTCCGGGCGTTATAAATGAGCGCGGCCAAAAGCGACGGGGAAAGGGGGCGACAAAGCGGAGCCGGGGAGGGGACACGGAGGGGCCTCAGGGCTGTCCCCGCGGCCGGCCCGCTCTCCGCTGGCTGCCGGGGGTCCGGCGGGTGCCCGCGGGCCCGGAGGGGGCTCCGGAGGCGAAGTCCATCACCTCGGGGGGAGCGCGGCGCAGCTCGGAGCTCCCCATCTCCCTGCGGATGTCGGCCAGCGCCTCGGCCGGGGAGCTCAGCAGCCGCTGGAAGAGGCTCTCCCGGCCCGCCGGCCGCTCCTGGCACTCGAAGGTGACGGCCGTGCCCTCGCCCGCCCGCATCTCCCTCGAGAAGCCGTCCGAGGTGCCCGCGAAGCAGCGGCCGATGGCGATCTCCTTGGCCAGCCGCGGGTTCTGGTCCGTGACGGTGTAGATGCCGTAGTTGTGGCCCAGCGGGTCCAGCGGGGCCAGCATGGAGAAGGCCCCGGTGTGGTTGTTGTCGGCCAGCGGCGGGTGGCGGCTCAGGTAGTCCCGCAGGAGCCCGTTGATGGCCGTGCGGCGGCAGCTGCCCTGCGGCACGACGGACACCAGGGTCCTGTCGGCCAGGCTCTGGTCGAAGAGCATCCCGCCGCACTTGAACTCCACGCAGGCGCCCGAGGTGTCGTCCAGCAGCGGGTCCCGCACGCTCCGGCTGTCCCGCAGCCCGTAGAGCTGGCCCCGCGTGCGGGGGTGGCTGCCCCCGACGTTCCTGGACCTCACCATGTACTCCTGCGGCCCCCGCAGCTGCACCTTGATGTAGCACGCCCGAAACTCCTGCGGGTTGGGCCACCACGCCAGGTAGTCGCCGGTCCAGGAGGTGACGTCGCTCTCCTTGAAGGGCACCACGTTGTACTCGTACTTGTCCACCTCCACGCGGTAGAAGCGCAGGTGGTTGGCGCTGACCGGCGCCTCCTCGCACTCCCGCAGGCTCCGGTAGGAGTACACGGGGCCGTTGTTCTCGTCCACGTTGTTGGGGTCGGGTTTGGCTACGTTGATCTGGAACGCCGTCTTCTTGAGCGCCGGGTCCTCGTGGTCCGAGCGGCGGTAGCCCAGCTTGTTCAGGTAGGGCTGCGCCACCCCCACGGCGTTGGGGTTCAGCTTGGGGCTGGAGGCCACGGCTTCCAGCTCCTCCCCGCCCAGCGTGGCCGTCACCAGGGCCGCGTAGGCGTCGGGGCGCCGGGCGTCGCAGAAGGCGGGCAGGCAGGCGCCGTTGGGGCCGGTGACGGCGCTGTCGAAGCGGCCCCAGGCCCGCGGGTTGCTGGGGAAGCCGGGCTGCGGCTCCAGGTTGATGAGGCTCACCACCACCCCTTCCAGCTGCTCGTAGGGGTTGAACTTCTCGTTGCTGTAGGCCCTGACCTTGACGAAGCAGCGGCGATCCTCGGGCACGTCCAGGTTGAAGAGGCGCCGCTCGCGGATCTCCAGGTTGCCCACCAGGAACGTCCTCTCCTCCCTCCTCCTCCTCCGCCCGCCCCCGGCCGGCCGCAGCTCCGCCTCCTCCTCCCACAGGCCGCTCTCGGGGTTCAAGGACCACAGCTTCATCTTCTGCAGGTGCTCGGCCATCCACACCTGCCCCGCGTCCATCCTCACCTGCACGGGCCCGGCCTGCAGCGCCGCGCCGCTCTCGCCCTCGCGGAACTCCACGGCGAACATGCCGTAGGTGCGCAGGGGCACGATCTCGCCCTCGGCGTTGGCGAAGCTCAGGTCGCTGGAGGCGGCGCTGGCCGTGCCCACGTCCCTGGGGTCCACGAAGGTGACGCTGGCCTTGACGGTGCCGTTGAAAACCTCCCCGGACGGGCGCAGGAAGGCTCCGGCCGGCAGCACCAGCTCCCCGACGGGCTCCCGGCCGCCGGCCTCGCCCAGGGGGATGGCGTTGTTCCGCCCTCCGTCCAGCTCCACCGGCTCCTTCTTGCGCAGCATCTTCACCTCGTGGTACACGGCTCCTCCCCGCGGGTCGAAGGGCAGCACCTTGACGGCGTCCACCAAGCGCTGCTGGCCGTCCACGAAGCGAGTGACGAGGCGCTGCGTGTCGGGCGGCACCTCGATGGTGAAGGAGCCCTGGTAGCCGGTGAAGCCCACCTTCCTGCCCCCCAGGAAGATGTGGCCGAAGCGCAGCGGCTCCCCGGTGTCGGCCGCCGTCACCCGGCCCTGCACCAGCAGCCGGGGCTGCGCGCAGGGCCCGCAGCCGCACTCGGCCACCACCTTGAGGGGCAGCACGGAGCCGGCGCACGGCACCTGCCGCAGCTCCATCCTGCGCACGCCGCAGCACAGCCCCGACTCCCCCCCGCAGCCCGAGGTCTCGGCGGGGCCGCCCGGGCACGGCGAGGCCGGGCAGCGCCCCACGTTGTAGTAGCGGGAGCCGCTGGCGTCCTGCGGGCACTCGCTGGGCAGCTCCACCAGGCTGGGCTCCGGCTCCGCCCTGCAGCTCTGCTGGCCCGGGGCTGGGGGCACGGAGGGGACGGGGATTAGAGGGGTCAGGGGGGGTCTCGCCACCCCGTAGGGGCCCCCCGCGCTCGCTCACCCAGCACGGTGAGCTGCGCGGGCGCCGAGCGGATGGCGCCCGCCTCGGAGCTGGCTTTGCAGTGGTAGGTGCCAGCCTGCTCCGGTGCCAGCCCCCGCAGCGCCAGGCGGCCGCTGCTGCGCTCCGCCGTCCCCTCCAGCAGCGTCCCGTTGTGGTACCTGCGGGGACAGGCGACAGGCGACAGGCTCAGCGGTGACACTGCCACCCCCGCCCGTGCCCTCTGTGCCCGCCGTGCCAGCTCACCAGTAATATTTCTGGGGCGCGGGGGTGCCCGAGGCTTTGCAGCAGAAGGTCACGTCTTGCCCGGCCTCCCGCACCCTGGCCGCGGGCTGCAGCACCATGTGGGGCTTCTCTGCAAAGGGCGAGAGGGGCAGCGAGCCCATGGGCACCCCCGGCTCGCCCCTAGGGGTGCCCCAAAATCCCCCCCGCCTTCTCACCGAGCCGGTGCAGCCTCAGGTGCGCCTCGGCCACGCCCGAGCCGTTGGTGACGGCGATGGGTGCCAGCCCCGGGGCGAAGCCGTCGCGGTGGGCGCTGATGTTGGCGGCGGGGCCCGGGCACAGCCCCGAGGCCGAGAAGCGCCCGCGGGCATCGCTGCGGGCCAGCAGCACGGGCGGGCGGCCCTCCAGGTACACGCGGGCACCCGGCAGCGCCACCCCGGCCGCTGTCTCCACCGTGCCCCTCAGCGTGTGCCCGGGGCAGCCCGCGGGAGGCTCCGACTCCGAGTCCGTGGGCAGCGGGGGCACCGCCGAGGGGGCACCGGTGGCGTTACCTGGGCACGGGGGCGGGCGGCATTTCTGCACCTCGGTGACACGGCCGGGACACGGCGGGTTCTTGGCCGTGCGGCAGCTCCGGCGCCGGACGCGCGTCCCCGAGCGGCCGCAGCTGCGGGAACACGGACCCCAAGCGCCCCATTCCGTCCAGGTGGGCTCTGAGGGGACATTCCCGGTGGGAACGGTTACCGTGACCCGTGCGGTCACCCCCGGGTCACACCCGCGGCAGAGCAGCCTGAGGTGGGTGGCACCGGATGGAATTTCACAGCTGCTCCTGCTGCGGGGGCTGAGAGGGGGATTCGGGTCCTTGGAGGGACCCCCGTCCTTGTCACACCCCGGCGCCACCTCCAGCCCTCTGCGGCAGCCCCGTGTCCTCTCCCCACAGCCCCCAGGGACAGGGAGGGCTCGGGTGGCAGTGCCACCCCGTGTCCCCTCCCGGCAGCCCCCGGGGACAGGTCCGTACCTGGGCAGGGCCCGGCGCTGCAGGGCCGCCGCTCGGTGGCTTTGCCGCGGCACCGGAGCTCCCGGAGCGGGGCCGGGCTGCGCGCGCTGCCGCAGCGCCGGGAGCGGCTCTGCGTGCCCCGGGCGCCGCAGGCGCTGCGCGAGCAGGGGCTCCAGGGCGACCAGTGCGACCAGTACACGTGATCTGCGGGACACTGGGCGTGACTGGGGCCCACGGGCTGGGGACAGCGGCCAAGGGGTTAAAGGGGAAGGAACGCCCCCGCCCCACAGCCCAGGTGGGACACAGGAGAGATACGGGTGAGACACAGGGGAGACAGACATGAAATAGAGGTGGGTTAGAGGTGAGGTGAAGGTGAGACACAGGTGGGATGCAGCTGACGTAAAGGTGAGGTACAAGTGGGACACTGGTGTGACACAGGTGGGATACAGGTGTGACAGGTGTGACAGAGGTGACACACAGCTGTGTCAGCTGCCCCCCAGGTGCCCCCAGGTGTGCCCCCAGGTACCCCCCAGGTACTCCAGCTCACCCAGCGGGCACAGGAAGCGCACGTGGTAGTTGGCACAGGCAGTGCCCCCCAGCTGTCCCCAGGTGCCCCCAGGTACCCCAGGTGCCCCCAGGTACCCCCGGTACCCCCAGCTCACCCAGCGGGCACAGGAAGCGCACGTGGTAGTTGGCACAGGCCGTGCCAGCCGGCTGCTCGCGGTGCAGGCAGCGGAAGCCGCGCTCGGGGCTGGCATGGACCACCTGTCCCAGGGCCTCGGGCAGGTGCCACTCGGTGCTGCGCGCCTGGATGGCCACGGGCCGGGCGCACACGCGGTCCCCGTAGTAGAACCTGATGGCCGCCAGGCTCTCGTGGTCACCGTCACCGCCCGGGTGGTCGATGTTGAACCACGAGGTCCAGGCGGCGCCTTTGCCTGAGGGGGATGCGGGGATGGGTTGGGGACGGGCTGGGAACAATTGGGGACAGCTTGGGGACAGCTTGGGATGGTTTGGGATGGTTGAGGACAGCTTGGGGACAGCTTGGGATGGTTGAGGACAGCTTGGGGATCGTTGGGGATGGGTTGGGGACAGCTTAGGGACACAGAGGGTGTGCGGATGGAGGTGACCACTGAGGGGCTGCTGGGGTGGGGATGGCCAATGGGGCAGAGGGAGGGACACGGGGTGGGGGCTGTGGGGACATGGAGAGGGGACAGGTGACCCCAGGGGACACAGCCCACCCTGTGGGGGCACAGACAGGGGACACGGGTGACCCCAGGGGACACGGCAGGGTGGTCACCACCAAGGGTCACGTGGGGGATGGCATGAGGTCCCCAGACCCATGGGAATGTCAGGGGTGGGCAGCGCCCCTGGGGACGCTGAGGGGACACGGTGGCCCTCGGGGTGGCCTCACCTGCCGTGCCCAGGTCCAGCTCCTCCAGGTCAAGTGTGGCTTTCCAGGGCTTCCCCCCTGTGCCAGCCTTGCCCGGCTCCGACTCGTTCTCCAGCGGCTCTGGGGACACACGGGTGGCACTGCCACATTCCCAGGGACCCAGGCCCACCCCGTCCCTTCCCTGTCCCTGTTCCCATCCCTGTCCCTGTCCCATCCCTGTCCCATCCCTGTCCCCGTCCCCGTCCCCATCCCCGTCCCTGTCCCTGTCCCTGTCCCCATCCCTGTCCCTGTTCCCGTCCCTCTCCCTGTCCCTGTTCCTGTCCCTGTCCCTGTCCCTGTCCCTCTAGTGCCAGGATCCCTGGAAGGACACAATTCCCCTATCTCTATCCACCCCTCCCCTTTGGCAGGTGCCAGCTCTCCCTTCCCACTCCTCACCCCCTGCCACCACCCCTTGTCACTGTCCTGTGCCACCACCCTGTGCCACCAGCCCATCCCCACCCCTTCCCCCTTCATTCCCACTGGGAACCCCAAAACCCCGGTGGCACAAAAACCCCAAACCCCAACCCCAAACTCCAAACCCCAGACCCGAAACTGCTGACCCCAAATCTCCAAACCCCAAACCCCCAACCCCAGCTCCCAAACCCAAACCTCAATACCCAAACTCCAAACCCTAAACCCCAACTCCCAAACCCCAAACCCCAAACACCAACCCCAACTCCCAGCTCGCAAATCCCAAACCCCAAACCCGAAACTGCTGACCCCAAATCTCCAAACCCCAAACCCCCAACTCCAGCTCCCAAACCCAAACCTCAATACCCAAACCCCAAACCCCAAACCCCAAACCCCAACCCCAACTCCCAACTCCCAAACTCCAAACCCCAAACCCGAAACTGCTGACCCCAAATCTCCAAACCCCAAACCCCCAACTCCAGCTCCCAAACCCAAACCTCAATACCCAAACCCCAAACCCCAACCCCAACTCCCAGCTCCCAAACCCCAAACCCAAAACTGCTGACCCCAAATCCTGAAACCCCAAACCCAAGCACCCCTTACCTGCCACCCTGGCAGCGTACGAGGCTCCCAGCATCGCCAGCACCACCAGCAGCTGTGCCAACCGTGCCATCGGTGCCAGCCGCGCCAGCTGTGCCATCCGTGCCAGTTATGCTGGCTGTGCCAGCTGTGCCAGCCGTTCCAACCGCGCCAGTTGTGCTGGCTGTGCCGGCCGTGCCAGCCGTGCCAGCCGTGCCAGCCGTGCCAGCGGTGCCAGCCGTGCCAGGGCCGCTCCGGGCGCGAGTGCGGCCGCGGCGGGGCCGGCCCCGCTTTTATCGGGAGCGGAGCCCGCCCGGGGCAGCGCCGCCGCCGCCGCCGCTCGGGTCCAGCTGCGAAAATTGGCTGAGGGATGAGCCGGGAATGCGGCGGGAGGGAGGGGAAAGGAAACAAAAATACTCGGGAATAAAAAATAAAAACTGCGGGAAAAATAAAATACGGGAAAAATAAATATACGGGGGAAATAAAATATGGGAAAAAATACGGGGGAAATTAAAATACAGGGGAAAATAAAAATACAGGAAAAATTAAAACTGAAAACTACAGGGAAAATAAAAATACGGGAAAAATAAAAAGAGAAAACTACAAGGAAAATAAAAATATAGGAAAAATAAAAACTAGAAGCTATGGGAAAAATAAAAACTAAGCGGAAAATAAAAACACGGGGAAAATAAAATATGAGAAAATAAAAATACGGGGAAAATAAAAACTAGAAAACATAGGAAAAATAAAAACCAAAAAGTATGGGAAAAATAAAAGTACAGGAAAAAATAAAAACCAAAAACGACGGGGAAAATAAAAACACGGGGAAAACAAAACTACGGGAAAAGGGAAAAGAAGGAGCCGGTGCCGCTCTGAGGGGTTGGAGGGGACTGGGAGGGCACTGGGAACACTGGGGGCACTGGGGGCACCGGGAGGGCATTGGGGGCACCGGGGGCACTGAGGGGCACCGGGAGGGCATTGGGGGCACTGAGGGGCACCGGGAGGGCACCGGGGGCACCGGGGGGTTTGGGATCAGCGGCCCCGGCGTGCGGAAATCCCGGCGCATTCCCGGCATTCCGGCGGCTGCGGGAGGGGGCACTGGGGGCACTGGGGGCACTGGGGACAGAGGGGACAGAGGGGACGGAGGGGACAGTCCCAGGGGTGGCTCGTCACCCTCAGGAACAGCCCCGTGCTCTGGGGGTGGTTCCCGTGTGCTTTTCCTGGGGTTTTTGTGGGTTTTTGGTGGCATTCTGGCAGCATTTTGGTGACATTTTGTGGGATTTTGGTGACATTTTGGTGCCATTTCAGCCCTGTGTGACCCCGGCAGTGCCGCTGTCCCCCCGGCTGGGTGGCAGGGGAGGTGACAGCTCTGTCCCCAGCAGCGGGGTGGTGGCACTGCCGGGGGTCAGGCCAGGCCTTGCAGTGCCAGGACAAATCCCCAAGCCAGCCCAAGGCCACAAAGGTCCTCCTGTCCCCATCTCCAAACGGCCCCCAAACACCTGAGGGACCCCAGCGCTGCGTGTTGGGGTCACAGGGCCACCCCCAGGTTTTGGTTTGGTTTGGGGTCCCAGGGCTTGGTTTGGGGTCCCAGGGGTTTCTTTGGGGTCCCAGGGCCACCAGCACTTTATTTTAGGAGCCACCACCACTTTATTTTTGAGGTCACAGGGCCACCAGCAGAGATTTATTTGGGGTCACAGGAGTTTATTTGGGGTCTCAGGGCCCACCAGAGGTTTTTTTGGGGTCACAGGAGTTTTGAGGTCACAGGGCCACCGGCAGGGTTTTTTGGGTCCCAGGGGATTTTGGGGGTCCCAGGGGATTTATTTTGGGTCCCAGGGGGTTTTTGGAGTCCCAGAGGTTTATTTGGGGTCTCAGGGGTTTTTTGGAGCCCCAAGGGTTTTGGAGTCACAGGGTCACCAGCAGAGTTTATTTGGGGTCCCAGGGGGTTTTTGGGGTCGCAGGGGGTTTTTGGGGTCACAGGGATTCCTTTGGGGTCCCAGGGATTTCCTTGGGGTCACAGGGGTTTATTTGGGGTCCCAGGGGGTTTGGGGGATCCCAGAGGTTTATTTGGGGTCCCAGGGGGTTTTGGGGGTCCCAGGGGCTTTTGGGGGTCCCAGGGGGTTTTGGAGGTCCCAGGGGCTTCCTTGGGGTCACAGGGCCACCACGCAGTCGCTGCCCGGGTACTCGGGGGGGCTGAGCCCGAATTTCCTGCGCAGCTCCTCGGGCACGAAGCGTCCGGCCAGGAAATGTCGCCGTCCCCGGAAGCGCCGCGCCACCTCCTTGGGGGCCGCCAGCGACACCAGCACGTCCGGGCTGATGTCACCGCTGCCACCCACCGGGCCGGGCAGCCAGCCTGCCCCGGGGAGGGGACAGCGGTCACCGGGACAGCGGGGACACCGGGGACAGCGTGGGGACAGCAGTCACGGGGACACCGGGGACAGTGGGGATACCCGGAGACACGGGGAGGGGACAGGGGACACCCAGGGACATGGACAGGGGACACGAGTGACCCCAGGGGACACGGAGCGGTCGGTGGGGTCACGGACAGAGGACAGGTGTGACGCCAGGGGACACGCGCCACCCTTGGGGACACACGGGGTGGCTCGGGGGTGGCTCGGGGGTGGCTCGGGGGTGTCCCGCTGCTGCCGTGGACGGTGACAGAGAGGGCACAGGGAGGGGACAGGGGTGGCACAGGGGGGTGGCACGGGCGGGGTTTGTCCCCGCGGGTACCCACCCCGGGGAGGGTGACACGGCCAGGCCGGGGGGGACACACGGGTGGTGACAATGCCAGGCCTAGCCAGCAGCACGCGGCTGTTCGGGAATGCCAGCGGCCGGTGACGTCATGTCTGGGCCGGGCACTTTGTTATTTCCTGTGGATGTCCCCAACCCTGCCAGGGCCACCGAGGGGGGGTCCGGGGATGTCCCCACCCCGCCAGGACCTCAGGGATGTCCCCAGCCCCGCCAGGGCCACCGCGGGGGCTCCCAGGGTGACACCGCCACGGGTGCGGGAGGGACCGGGGGGCACGGGGGACACCCAAGGGGACACGAGGGACACCCAAAGGGACACGAAGGACACCCGAGGGGACACGGGCAGCACCTGAGGGGACATCCAGGCTGACGATGGGGATGCGGACGTGCCTGAGGGTGGCCAGGATGGCCGCGCACGGCTCTGTCCCCTCTGTCCCCTGCGTCCCCTCGGCTCCCAGCACCGCGTCCACCACGGCGTTGTAGGCGTCGTTGATGAGCTGCACCTGCAGGGAACAGCGACGGCGACATCTGCGATGTCCCCGTGTCACCTCTGACGGCACAAACCCCCGGCCGTGCCAGAAAAATAAAAAATAAAAAAAATCCCCCCCAAGTGGAGCAGCGAGGGAGGGGCCGCGCAGCCGAGACGGCGAATTTTGGGTCAAATTCCTCCGCTCCCAGCGCTGCGAGGTTCCAAAAATAACAGAGCCGGTGGCTGCGGGCAGCGGCTGCTGGATTTTCTGGATTTTCTGGCATTCCCGGGATCCCAGCAGCGCCGGGATGGGGAGGGAGAGGGGGGAAAGAGGGAGAAAAGGAGAGCTGGGGGTTTGGGGGGATTTGGGGTTCGGGGAGGGGAAAGGGAAGGAGAAGAGGGGGAGAAGCAGGGGGATTTCAGGGGAAGGATAAAGGGAAGGAGAAGGGGACAACTAGGGGGATTTGGGGGATTTGGGTGCTCACAGGGGGAACAGGGGAGGAGAAGGGGCCAACCAGGGGGATCTGGGGCTGGGGTCACCTCGGTGGGCAGGTAGGACAGGAAGGGGATATCCATCTTCTCGCACTGCGTGGTGAAGTCGCGGTGCAGCGGGTCCGGGGAGCGCTTGGGGTAGAAGATGGTGGGCTCGTAATCCTGGGGGAGAAACGGAGCCCTGGAGCCGGGGGGCTCGGGAGCGAGGCCGGCAGGAGGAGGAGGAGGGCGGGGGGCTGAGGTACCCACGAAGCTGCGCAGGTGGCGGGCGCACACCAAGCCCACGGCCCCGTTCTGCGCCGGCCCGCACGCCACCAACAGCGTGGGCTGCCTGCGCCGCAGAGAGCGCAGCGGGAACACCTGCGGGGACAGGGGGGGGACAGCGTCACATGGGGGGGACAGCGGGGACACTGTCACACAGGGACAGCAGGGACAGCGGGGACAGCATCACATGGGGGGGACAGGGACAGGGACAGCGGGGACACTGTCACACAGGGACCGGGACAGCGGGGACAGTGTCACACCGAGGGGACAGGGACAGCGTCACATGGGGGGGACAGCGGGGACACTGTCACACAGGGACAGGGACAGGGACAGTGGGGACAGTGGGGACAGCGTCACATGGGGGGGACAGGGACAGCGGGGACAGCCGGCGGGACAGCGTCACACAGGGGCAGCGGGGACACTGTCACACAGGGACAGGGACAGCGGGGACAGCCGGCGGGACAGCGTCACATGGGGGGGACAGTGGGGACACTGTCACACAGGGACAGGGACAGCAGGGACAGCGGGGACAGCATCACACCGAGGGGACAGGGGTGGCACTGGCACGCGGCAGGGACAGGGGGACACAGCAGGGACAGGGGGACATGGTGGGGTGGCACTGGCACACAGCACCCAGCATGGGATGGAGGTGGCACAAGGAGCAGGACGGGGATGGGATCCACAGCACGGGATGGATTGGCATGGTCTGGCATGGCATGGTCTGGCATGGCACGGTTTGGCATGGCAGGGCATGGCTTGGTATCCACAGCAGGACTTGGGTAGCGCTCAGAGTGGGATGGAACACAGACCGTGGTGGGATGAGGATGGTGCCCCAGGTGGGATGAGGACGATGCCTGGGCCGGGCCGTGCCCGCGGCCCCCTCGTCCCCGTCCCGGCCGCTGCACATTGCAGGATGGCTCGGGCAGGGAGGGACGGAGGGAGGGACGCTGCCTCTGTTTATCCACTGACGGATTTTTTCCTGCTCACGGATCCTGGCTCCGGGACTCATCCCCGGTGCCCGGAGCGGGACACGGCCCCGGTAGCCCGGGCTGGCCCCAGCCCAGCGCTGGCCACGCCACCGGCACCTCCTGGCACCGGGGACAGCGCGGGGACAGCGCGGAGACACCCTGGGGACGCCCTGGCTGGCTGGGGGAGCCGGAGCTGAGGCGGCCCAGAGGAAGAGGAGGATGCCGAGCGCCAGGTGGGGTCAGGGATCCTGCAGCAGCTCCGGCACCAAAACATTTCTGCTCCTCGTCAGCGCTCCGAGCAGGGAAGGGCCGATGGAAAAGCTGAGGCGCCCGGGCCCGGGGCACAAAGCTGCCCTTGATGGACGCCTGCTCCTCCTCCTCCTCCTCCTCCTCCTCCTCCCGCTCCTCACATCTCGCACGAGCCCCGGGCGATCCCCGCAGCAGTGACATGGCCGGGGCTCGGGGACAGCCGGGCACCTCTGGGGACCCCCAGGGCCCCCGCCCCGACTCCCGGTGGGGACCCCAGCCCCTCTATGCGTCCCCAGCCCCTCTGAGGTGTCCCCAGCCCCTCGGGGTGTCCCCAGGCTCACCTTGGTGACAGCCACGGCACAGGCGTGTCCCCAGATCTCGAGCAGCTGCTGCCGCCCGAAGCGGTAATCCTCCAGCAGCTCCTTCTCCATGGCCTCCGCCTCGGCCTGGCTGCCTTGGGGACAGTCCCCGCTCAGGACAGGGGGACAGAGCCGTCCCCAACCCCCCAGAGGACTCGGGACCCCGCTCCACCCCCGGGACGGGATTTTGGGACACGGGGCGAGCGCGCCGGGGGCTGGGGGTGGGCCCCGCGGCGGGGACGGGCACGGAGGTCACACGGATGTCACACGGATGTCGCACGGATGTCACACGGATGTCACACGGGTGTCACACCGAGGGGACCGTGCCCGCACTGGCCGCGGCGGGAGCGGCGCTCGGCCGAGCTGGCGGCGGCCCCGGTTCCCCGGTTACATAAAAGCGAACAAAGCCGCGGTTGTTCCGCAGCCGCCGAGCCCGGAGCTGGCAGCGCCCAGCGCGACAGTAATTGCTCACATCTGTTGGCTTCACCTGCGCGGGCGGAGCGGCCTGGGCCGCCTCCAGCGCCCGCCGGGAGGGAACGCGAGCCCCGCCGGGCCGGGATCCCGGCGGTACCGGGGGATCCAGACCCCGCCGTACCCCGGGTTGGGAGGGAACCGCTCAGAGCCAGTCCCGGGAGCGGAGCCGGCAGTGCCAGGGGCAGCTGAGGAGGCCCGGGTTGGGGTCCCGGGTTGGGGTCCCGGGTTGGGGTAGCAGGCTGCAGGCTGCTCCCTCCCCATCCAGGCTGTCCCCACGGAGCAGCCGTGTCCTGGCAGAGCCCAAAAATCCCTTTTCATTCCAGCAGGGCCCCAGCAAGCTCCTGGTTCCCCCTTTTCCACATCCCAGTCCTTGGCTGTCTTGACAAACCTGCCAGAAAAACTTCATCCCATCCCGCATTCCCATCCCACATTCCCATCCCGCATTCCCATCCCATCCCTGTCCCCGATCCTTTGGTGCCCTCTAGTGAGCCCCAGCCCTGCCCCAGCCCTGCCCCAGCCCCACACGGGGGCTCTGGGGAGAAATCCGGGGGGGAAGGGGCGGGAAGGGAGCGAGCGGTGCCCGGAGCGCTCCCGTGCCGAGCGGGGGTGGCCGGGCCCAGCTGTGTTGTCCCTCGAGCCACGTGTCCGCAGCAATTCCCGGGAACATTGTCCCTAATCGCTGCTGGCAGGGACACCGCGGGCTGGCAGGGACACCCCGGGTTGGCACCGGCCCCGGGCGGGGACACGGCCGGGGCTCCCCGGGAGCTGCGGGCCCGCCCCGAACCCATCCCGGTCCCGCGTCCAGGTCCCGCGCCCCCGATCCGTATCCCAGCCCCACATCCCGACTCTTTATCCCGGCTGTGTCCCCTCTCTGCGCCCCCGATCCCAGCTTCACACTCCAGTCCCTCATCCCGGTCCCATTCCCCGTTCCCGTTCCGTTGCTCCGTCCCGGTAGAGCCCGTCCCCGCAGCGTGTTCCCGCTGTCCCCGCCGTCCCCGCTGTCCCCGCTGTCCCCATCCCTGCCCATCCCGGTCCCGCGCTCCGCTCCCGCCGCCGCCATGGAGACCCGGGATGCTGCGGTTGCTCCGGCAACGGCGGCTCCGCGGGTACCGATCCCCTCTCCCGGGCCCAGGGACACCCGTGGGGACCGGGACCCGCCCGGGGGTGGCGCGCGGGGCCGGCACCGAGCGGGGGCGGCTCCCGGGACACCGGGGATCTCCCGTCCCACCCCCGCGGGGTCCCGGGGCAGCCCCGGCTGAGCGGCACCGCCCGGAGCTGCCGGGGGCTCCTCGGGGGGACCCCGGGCTCACCTGAGGTACCGGGGCGGCTCCCGGGACGGGCTGGGCGCGGAGCTCATGGCGGGGAGCGGCACCGGAGCGGCGGCAGAGCCGAACCCCGGCGGGAGCGGAGCCTCCGTCCGCGGCTGGAGCGGAGCCGCTGCGATCTCCGCGGAGCCGCGGTGGGAGGGGAGCCCGCGGGAATGCCGAGGATGCTCCGGTCCCACCGGAACGCCGGGAATGCCGGGGATGCTCCGGTCCCACCGGAACGCCGGGGATGCTCCGGTCGGAGCGGGGCGGGCTCGGCGGTGCCGCCCGGGGGGAGGCGGCTCCGGTGCCCCCGCCCCGCTCCCGCCCGGCCCCGCTCCGGGAATGCCGACCGCGGCTCCCACCCGGGAATTTTGGGATTAAACCCCCCCAGATCGGGGTTTTTCCAGCGGGATCCGCAGCCCCGGGAGCGGGGGGCACGCGGGGAGGGGACGAGGACAGGCCCCTCCCTCCAGCCCGAATTCCCGGGAAAATCCCCCGGGAGCCCCGAATTCCAGGGGGGGAGAGAGGGAGAGGGAGTGCGGGCTGTGCCCGGGAGCCACGGGCTCCCCATCCCAAAGAGGGAGATCCCAATCCCAACAGGAGATCCCAATCCCAAAGCGGACAGACGCCCACTCCCAAAGGCAGCAGACCCCACTCCCAAATGGGGGATCCCAATCCTAAAAGGAGGGGATCCCAATTTCCAGGAGAGGGGTTTCCCAGTTCCCAGGGGCAGTTCCAATCCCCAAAGGACTGACTGATTTATTTATTCATTATTTATTTATTAATTATTAATGAACAGGCGTCAGAAGAAGCTCGGGATGGGGGGATCAGCCTGGAGAGGGACAGGAAAGGGGGGGAAAGTTCCAGAAGGAGCCGGGAGAGGCGGGGTCCGGGTTTGGGGTCCGGTTTGGGGTTTGGGGTGAGGGTTGGGCTTTTGGGGTGTCACACGTAGTTCTGCAGCCCGAACTTCTCCCGCTCCAGCTCGGCCGGGGGCCGCAGGTAGTAGAGCTCCTCCACGGTGGGGGGCACCCAGCGATCCGTGTGGAACCGGGACTCGCCCACCTGCAACAGCGGGAACGGGCTGGGAATCAACGGGAATTGTGTTGGGAATTGGGCTGAGAATCACCGGGAATCACCGGGAATTGTGTCGGGAATCACCAGGAACTGTGTTGGGAATCACCGGGAATCGCCCAGAACTGTGTCGGGAATCACCCCCGGGATTACCTGCCCTGGGCGGGGCCTGGCAGCCAGGGGTGAGCCCCAGTGCCAGGGGATCCCAAATCCATGGGCATGGAGTTAAATCCCATGGGATCCCTCAGAGCCAAATCCCCTGGGCTGGCTGCGTCCCATGGGATCCCAGAGGAGCCCCCCCTTTTCCCCCCGGGAATCCCAAACATTCCAGCCCGGGGTGATCCCAAATGCGTCCCATGGGATCCCAGAGGAGCCCCCCTCACTCCCCCCCGGAACCCCGAACCTTCCAGCCCGGCACGTCCCGCATGATCTTGGCCTCCTCCTCCAGGTTCTCCCGCAGCAACCGCAGAGTCCTGGGGGACACAGGGCACGGGAAGGGACCCCGATCCCATATGGGGGATCCTCATCCCAAAGGGGACCCCGATCCCAAACGGGACCCCAATCCTGTACAGGGGACCCAAATCCCCTACAGGGGATCCCAACCCCAAAGGGGATCCCGATCCCAAAGGGAAGTTCTCAATCCCAACGGGGGTATCCCAATCCCACAGAGGGATCCCAGTCCCATAAAGGGGGACACTAATCCCATAAATGGAAGTTCCCAATCCCATAAAGGGGGATCCCAGTCCCAAGGGAAGCTCCCAGTGCCGAGAGAAATTGCCAGTCCCATAAAGGAAATTCCCAATCCCAACGGAAGTTCCCAATCCCATAAAGGGGGACCCCAGTCCCAAAGGGATTTCCCAGCCCCGTACCTGCGGTCGGACTCCGCCTGCAGCAGCGGCATCAGCGCGATCCGAGCCTCCAGCTCCTCGATCAGCAACCGCCTGCAGGGACAGAACGGGGGAACGGGGAACTGGGGGGACTGGGAGCACCGGGAATGGGGCATGGGGGATCCCGGGGACACTGGGGGTGCCGGGGGGCACTGGGGGTCCCGGGGTGTACCGGGATCCGGGTGTGAACAGCCCATCCCGGGGCCAGAAGCGCAGGGAGGAGCCCCGGGACCGGGCCGGGGGTGCCGCGGGGGGCTCGCAGCGTCACCTGCGCTCGCGGTTCCACCTGACGAGGCTGTAGTATCCGAGCAGGAGGCTCCCGATGCCGAGCGCGAACAGGCTGTACCCTGAGGGCCGTGAGGGGAGCGGGGCGCGCTCAGCGCGGAGCGGCCGCACGGCCCCGCTCCTGCCCCCGCCGCCCCCCGGCGGCGCCCCCGCGGCCGCCCCCGGGCTCACCTGAGAGGCCGCGGCGCGGGAGGTGCCGCTTGTAGTCGATGGGGCCGTACCCGCCCGGCGGGGCCATGTCCTGCTTCACCTTCGGCGCCGCCATCGCGGCGCGCATCGGTGACGTCACTGCTCCGCGCCGCCGGCCCCGCCCAGCTCCCGCGCGCGGGAAACTCACGTGGGGCAGTCACGTGACCGTGGGGACCCCACTTAAAGGGGCAACGCGCGCTTAAAAGGGCAATGCCACATCAATTCCTTGGGATCATCTCCCGCCCAATTCCACGGGAATTTGGGACAATCCCGTGGGAATTCCCGCGTCCCGCGGCTCTTCCCAGGCCCAGAGAATTTGGATTTTATCCACAATTGTGGGAAACATCCATGGGCTCCGCGGGTTTTCCTGGAATGTTCGGGTGAGATCCAAGGGTGCTGGAGCAGGAATTCCAGCTGGGAATGGAGAAGGCTGAATCCATAAATCCAAATTTATGGATTTGCTCCATCCATGAAATTCCACAGGAAATCCACAAAAATCCCGCATTTTTGCCACCTCCTTTTCCCCCTCTCCCGCCTTCCCCCTTTTCTTTTTGGGAATAATCCTCAGGGGAGGAAGGAGCAGATCCGGCTCTGTCTGGGTGACCCACGAGATCCATCCCGACCCCCAAAATCCTGGGAATGTGAGGCAGATCCAGGAGTTTCTCTGTTTATTGTCACTCCAATTCCAACCCCCCCAATTAATTACTGATTAATTAACAATTCTGGATCCTTCCACTGGTGGGATTAGTGAGAATTATTAAATTTTGGGATTTACTCTGGAATATTTTGAGTCCCAACAAATCCAAGGGAAAAATCCCCTGCCCTGTTCTCCTTCCTTCCCAAAGGAGAGGGAAAAAGGAGCCAAATTTGAGGTTTTCCCCCAAAATCTCCTGTAATTTCCTCCATTTCACCCCTTCCTGCAGCCTGAATTCCCAGCTTTCCATCTGGGATTCAACTTTGGGAATTCAATTCCAATTCTTCCCCAAAAACAAAGGGATAACTGGCTGGGGAATCCAGAGGTAAAGGAAGAATTCCCAAAATGAGGATAAAAATAAACACAGAATAAACCCCAATCCCAAATCCGCTGGAATTTTGGATTTTCTTTGTTCTCCTCAGGAATGGCAGGCGCAGGAATCCCTGGGACATAAAAAATTCGGGAATTCACCTTTTTCCCAAGCTGGGAACGCTGAGGAAGAAGAGCCCAGGACAGGAAAAAAAAAATTCCAACCCTTTTTTTTTTTTGGTGGAATTCCAAATCCCAACTGTCAGGAGGGAAATCCGAGAAGAACCACACGGCCGCCCCGGCTCCGCCGCGGGAATCGTCCCATGACAATCCGGGACCTCTTTATTTCACAAGTCGCTAAAATCTAAATTACAGCGGCGCTCCCTCGCTCCCCGCAGCGTCCCAGGAAACCCCAAAACCCCGGCGGGAATCCCAAATTCCCAGCGGGAATTTTATGGCTTTAGGGAAAAGGGATCCAGGACCCCGAGGGATCGGTGGGAACGGGAGGGTTGGGAGGGCTTCCCATGGATCCAGGAGATCTCTGGGATCTGGGAATTCCAAAGGGGATCCAGGAGATCTCTGGGATTCTGGAATTCCAAAGGGGATCCAAGAGATCTCAGGGATTTGGGAATTCCAAAGGGGATCCAGGCGCTCTCTGGGATCTGGGAATCCTAAAGGGGATCCAGATCTCTGGGATTCCGGAATTCCAAAAGCCTCAGGGGTTTGGGAACCCCAAAGATCTCGGCATTCAGGAGCCCCAAGGGATCTGGGGATCCTAAAGGGGATCCAAGGGCCTCGGGGAATCCAGAAATCCAAAAGCCCTCGGGGGTTTGGGAATCCCCAAAGGGGATCCAGTCAGAGAATCCCAAATCCCAAAGGGGATCAACAAACTCAGGATTTGTTCCCAGATTCCCCCCTCCTCCACCATTCCCAAACTTCCCCCTTCCAGGGCAGAATTCCACAATGGGAATTTTCCGTTCCTTTGAGATTTTTTTTTTTCCCCCCCCATTTTTCCCATTTTTTGTGGGGCTTTTTCCTGGAAAAAGGAGACTGGGAAGAGGTTTGGAAAATCTGTATTGAAGAGCTGGAACAACTTTGAACCTGAACCATCCCAATCCCAAAAACCCCCACGGGAACAGGGAACTGGGACTGCGGAGGAAAATCCATCCCGCCGTTCCAGCAGGGAACCTTCCCCAGACCGATCCCAAACGTGGCAGGAACGTGGATGGAACCAAACAAATCCCCCAAATTCCCGGCAGCATTCCAAGAACGTTCCGGAAAAAACCACGCCAGAACCAGGCTGGATCCCAGGAGTCGCATTCCAGGCGGGAATTTGAGTTTCAGCCCCACCCCGTAAAATAATTTGGTTTTCCAGCCCCAATCCGTGCTGGATTTTCCCTTCCAAACAAATGTCCCCCCCATCTCCCAAATAATTTTTCTTTGGGATTTATCCTGAATTATCCATCCAAATAAAATCAGGATGGAATATTTGCAAGTCTGGATGCAGAGACGTGTTTGGATTTTTAATTCCAAATCCTTCAATTCCAACATTCCTGATTATTTTAATGAAACAAAATTGGCTGAAATTCCAATTTCCAAGGGAATTCTGCTGGGATCCAGAAAGTTTTGACATTGTTTTTATCCCATTAAATCCTTCTGTGACTCTTCCATTCCCTGTTTGGTTTTTTTTT